CCCCAAAACCCCAAAACCCCAAAACCCCATTAGTTCAAAATAGAAAGAAAGTAACAAATGATATAAATACCTAATAAAAAGATAAGATGATTTTATCAGTTATTTATAATGGAGAAAATAAATAGCAATTGTCAAAAGATATCTATTGACCCCAAACTAAATATTAATAGTAACCAATATGTTTGGACAGAATTGGAAACCGGGAATTTCATTACTGTTCAGCGATTAATCAACCATAAAACTCTAGTTAGTGGAGAATAAGGCATTAATGAAACAAAATAGGAATTCATTTCAAGGAAAAAGATTCAATCATAAAATTTGGAGATAAATTAAACAGCCTATCATAAAAAACATGGCTATGTTATATTGGAAAGAGACAACAATGTTCAGGCTAAAATAGATATGGGCTCCAATATTGACTTAACGAAATTGCCAAATACATGGGAATGTGTAGTATTGAATGCATCCGACTAAAAGATAGATTAGCAATAAAAAATTGAAGAGCCTAAAAAAGTTAATATCAAAGCAAGTGAATTAAACTTTTTGATATAGATAGAGACAGTATGCACTATCGAAAATCAAGTGACTATTTAAAAACACAAAGTTAATATCAAAGATCCAATTCTTTCGCTGATTCAACCGATGAGAAAACTTTACCTGAGCAAATTATCAGCATTTTTATTTGAAAAAGAACTAGACTTAAACAAGACTTTTATTTAAGAGTAGATTGACAACAATTAAAAAATTGTTTTGCACGGAGTAAGAACTGATTAAAGTCTTGAAGCTGAATAATCTAAATTCTTTCAAAGATTCACAAGCTGCAATAGAGAAGGAGGATGGGGATAATATGGTGATATGGATGGTATTAAAATATTGTGCTATAAGAGTATAATGTTTTAAGGTGTAGGAATATTTGAGGAATCTAATACAGATTAACCTGAGCCATTCACTCTGTCATATAAGTATTCACTCATTGATTAATTTGGAAGTGATATTTACAAGAGCGAATTAATAAAAGAAGAAGTTAAATACTCTTCAGCTGATGTCAATGAATTGCACTTCTTCAAATATAAATTCAAGACATTTCCAAAAGGTATTAAAGTTGAGGCAGGCTAAACCATTTACTATTAATAATTAACTTCTTTGCCGTAGACATATTATTCTGATTCAGGATTAGAATATGAGATGATTTAAAATCCAGACATGGGTATTTTCAAATTGAAAAACGGAGAAAATAGTGAAAGCTCAACCTCTGTTAGTGATGGTCTTATTCCTGGATTTCTCTACTAACTATGTTGATTTTGAAAGCTATATAATTAAATTAAATCTTAAATACAGTTAACTATTATGTCAATTTAATTAATCATTATCAAGCAAATTTTATTCACTTGGGGTTTTGGGGTTTTGGGGTTTTGGGG